TCCCTGCCCTCCACCCCGACCGTGCTCCAGCACACCGTCTCCTTGCCCTCCACCCCGACCGTGCTCCAGCACACCGTCTCCCTGCCCTCCACCCCTGCCGTGCTCCAGCACATTGTCTCCCTGCCCTCCAACCCCGATGGTGCTCCAGCACATTGTCTCCCCTGGTTTACTTCTCCACAAAATTTAGTCTTGTCGGAGGTGTTAATTCCCCACTGGTGATGCTCCGTCTGTCTCCCTTCCACCACGTTCGGTCTGAGGGCAGGGGTTGTCTCACGGCTCAATTTTGTGACCTCAGCATTTCAAGCAGTGGCAGAACATTGATGGCACTTCCTGTTTCCTGAGTGAATGAACAAATGCGGTTTGGGTTTTAATAAGATCTCTGCGTAAGGATAAAGGCCCAGAGAACAGCGAGGAGGCAGGAGGGAAGACGTGAGGTTGCTGGGCCCAGGCCCATCTCCCTCTGCATTTGCTGGAAGATTAGGGGCCAACTGTGGAGCCAGCCTCTATTGCCCAAAGCCTGAGCCCCACTCTGAGTCTCCCAGCACCATCAGTTTACTGGGGAAGGCCCTTGGCCCTGAGTGGGCCTAGGCTGGCGGCTGGGCTGTCTGCCTTGGGTTGATAGATCACCGTGTCTTCCTGGGGATATGGTCCCAGTAGGTTTCTGACCATTCTGACCTCCGGGAGGCACTCTGACTCCCTCCTTGGCGTAACTCAGCTCAGCCCCTGTGGCCTGTGCTCTCCAGGTGGACGGAGAAGGGGTGGGTTTTCTCCTTCCCTCGTGGTTGCTAAGATACGGCAGGTGGGGCCCAGACGTTCTTGTGGAAGGGGCTTCTTGGATTCTTGCCTCCTGACTGTGTGTTCCAGCACCAGTGTGAAGGCGGCACGGGGTTCTGGTCCCGTCCCAAGTATTTATTGACCCTGTGATCTCAGGCACGACGCTCCTCCTTTCTGAGCCGTGGCGTCTCTGGAAACGTCAAAACCACCTCCCGTGGTGAGAGTGTCCTTACGGCAACACCTGCAGACCCGACGTCCACGGACTTGTGGTGGCCAGCGCAGTGTGTTTGAGAGACTGGGATTAGGTGACGCTGCTTAGAGTGTTTTACACGAAAATTCAGACAGCCTGAGAAAGTCTTGCCCCTGGAACTGCACTCCCCTGTGACAGTGGTGGGCTGGAGACTGGTGGCATCTGTCAGAACCCCTCTTGTCCATGTCGCCTCCCTGAACCCTGTAGGCAGCGGGGTCGGTACCCCTGACCTGGAGCAGATGGCATGGAGGTGGCCATCCTCAGCCGCCAGCACGTCTGTCTTAGGAGGTGGTCCGGCCACCGTGGGGGGCTTTTACCCTGGCTGCATATCAGTCACCTGGCCCCCCCAGGCTCTCCCCCAGAAAAGGACAAGTCAGTTGGTCTGGGGTGAGGTCTGGGCATGGTCAATCTTAAAACTTTTCACATTGGGATAACTTCAGACTTACAGGAATAGTACAGAGAATGCCTGTATATCTTTCACCCCTGTTTCCCACTTTTGCTTCACCACATGTGTTGGATCGTCTTCTTTCTGTATCTATGTGAATTTTTTTGGGAACCGTTTGAGAATAAGTCACAGACCTGATGCCCCTTTGCCTCTAAATACTTAATGCGTTTTTGTGTTTTTCACTGTTGTTAATTTTGTATTTGCTGAGTCTTACGTTTTTCTTGTTTTTTATTTTGATGTGTAGGATTATTAGTTTCCTTTGTAGTTACCCTAATATGTGCGCCTATTTTTCTAAGTTTAAACTAGTCTTGTATTTCTTCATACGGCCTTGACTTCCTCTCCCTATGAAAGATCTATGACTGCATTGTTTTGTCTTTCCTTTTTGTTTTAATGTTGTCTTTTGCATATTGATCTCTCTGTTCCCCTGTTTTCAGCATTTTAGCTTTGATTTATTTTTGTGACTTCTATATCTGGGTTGATATCTGGCTGCTCTGTCCTGTGTTCTAGTCTTGGGTTGTTATCTGATGTTATTGCTTTTCTAACCAGAGGACTCCCTTTAGTATTTCTTTTAATTTTGGCTTGGTTTTCACAAATTCTCTAAACTTCTGTTTGTCTGGAAATGCCCTAATTTCGCCATCATGTTTGAGAAACAGTTTTGCTGGATATATAATTCTTGTCTGGCAGTTTTTTCCTTCAAGGCTTTATATATGTCATCCTGTTGCCTTGTTGCCTGCATGGTTTCTGCTGAGTAGTCTAAGCTTAGTCTTATCAACTGTTCTTTGTAGATGACTTTTCGTTTATCCCTAGCCGCTTTTAAAATTCCCTCTTTATCTTTGGTTTTGGCAAGTTTGATTATAATATGTCTTGGTGACTTTCTTTTGGGATCTACCTTGTGTGGGGTTCAGTGAGCATCCTGGATAGATATCTTCTCATCTTTCACAATATCGGGAGTTTTCTGCCAACGAATCTTCAACAATTTTCTCTGTATTTTCTGTTAATCCCCTTCGTTCTGGTACTCCAATCACTCGTAGGTTATTCCTCTTGAAAGAATCCCACATAATTCTTATGGTTTCTTCATTTTTTAAAATTCTTTTATCTAATTTTTCCTCAAGTTGGTGTCAAGTGTTTTATCTTCAGTCTCACTAATTCTGACTTCCATTGCTTCAATTCTGCTCCTATGACTTTCTATTGAGTTGTCTAATTCTGAAATTTTACTGTTAATCTTCTGGATTTCTGTTTGCTGTCTCTCTGTGGATTCTTGCAGCCTGTTAAATTTGTCATTGTGCTCTTCTATAATCTTCTGAATTTTCTCTATTGCTTTGTGTGTTCCTCTGCTTGTTCTGCGTTTTGACTGATCTCCTTCCTGATCTCTTGAAGAGTTCTGTGTATTAATCTTTTGTATTCTACCTCTGGTAATTCCAAGGAGTTCTGTTCCTCTGGAAGATTTCTTGTTTCTTTGTTTTGGGAGCTTGCTAAAGCCATCATGGTCTGCTTCTTTATGTGATTTGATACTGACTGTTGTCTCCGAGCCGTTAATAAGTTACTATATTTATTTATTTTATGTTTGCTGACTGTATCCTAGCTTCTTGTTTTGTTTTGTTTTGATATGACCAAATAGGCTGCTCGTGTGAGCTCGTTTGATTAAGGCACCTTTGAAGCTCTAATGTCCTGTCACCAGCTGGTTAGGTCTGTTACAAGGTATGCGAGCCCGGGAGTCCATTTACTTTTCTTGCATGGATTCAGCTCAGGTGTCCAGGTAGTTGGTCACCAAGTGTGTGGTGCAGGCTCTCACCTACAGTCCTACACGGGCAGGGGTGATTGGAGTAGGCACAGGTGTCTGGCTGCAGTAGGGAGTTACATGCTAAGCAAGGCAGTGGGCTCACAGTTGCCCCTGAATGTCTGGGAGGAGAGCGTGTCCCTGTTTCCTAGAGTGCATAGGTGGGTGGGTTTTGCAGCCGGACTATGGGCACCCAGTACTGTTGGCTGTAAGGACTGGGAGGCACCACTTCTCCTTGAACCTCTGTTGCAGGTGGCTAGGTGGCGTGGGTGGAGCCAGCAGTCCGCAGGCCCCTGATGTGAGTAGGTGAGGACCCTGCTTAATGGGCAGAGCAGTGTCACATGTCACAAACCTGCCACTCCACCGTATAGCAGAAACAGTTGAAGTTAGTCTTCAGGTATATACCCTGTTGTACTGGGTAATGAGGGCCTATGCTGTTGAAATGGGCCCACAAAGTCTATGCAGGGGTGAAAGACATTCAAAGTCCGCGGACCCCTTATGCCTGTGCCTAAGGATCTGTGCCTGCCCTGAATTCCTAGCTTAGGGGAGCTGGCAGATTATTTTTTCCCTGTTTGTTAATTTATTCCCTCTCTAAGGCTGGGAGAATGGCTCAGGGCGCATGATAGGTCCTACTTCTAGCCCAGGGGACATGGCAATCACTGAAGCTGGCCCAAGACCCAGTGCAAAGCAGGGAGGGGCCGGGTAAATGGGAGAGAGGTTTTTCCCAAACAGGGTGTTTTTAGATCCACACGGTAGGTTAGATGCATATGCTTATATTTTGCCAATTGAGCACTGCTTCTCACTGGTTCTGGAGGCTTGAGCAGACTCTCTGCCACTCGGTCTCTCCCGACGTAGAAAACGCGTCCCTAACACCACTGCCTGCCTCACTGCTTGTGCCAGCCGATCTGGCCTGCAGGGTGCCGGTTCCCGCTGAGTCAGGTCTGATAACTCCTCACTGCTTGTGAACCGTCTTTCCCTCTCCCTGCTGCTCAGCCGGATTCCTCAACTTTGCCTTTGATGTACAGGGCTCCTAGATTGTCATATGTAATCAATTCGCTTGTTTTTTCGGGTCTTTGTTGTAAGAGGGACCACTGGAAGTGTCTGACTACTCCGCCATCTTGGCCCCACCTCTAAATACTTTCATAACTACAGGGCATCAAGCAAAATCAGTCATGTAGCCAGCCATACCTGTAGAGCTGCAGGGAGGTAAGAAAGTACTCTGTCTGGGCACATGGCCATCCTAATTAAAATCCGGGTTCTGTCAAAAAGGAGAAGCCCTGGTATAGTGGTTAAGAGCTCGGCTGCTAACCAAAAGGTTGGCGTTCACATCCAGCAGCCACTCCTTGGAAATCCTGTGGGACAGTTCTACTCTGTCCTGTAGGGTTGCTATGAGTCGGAATCAACTCAACGGCAATGGGTGTTATCAGTACGGAAGGAGGGTGAGTGGATATGGGGCAGGCAGCTCACCTGCCTGCTGCTGTGAAGAGAACGTGGAAGCCGCTGGAGGGTTGACATGATGATGATAGATGTTCTGTGAGGTTGTCAAAGACTCGCTCAGAGGCGTTTCCTTAGTTATCTGCACACTGATTTCCTCATGTGAGAGAGACGATTATGAGACTGAAGGAGCAGGGGTAAAAACAGGACTAAAGGAGAGAGAGGAGCACTGCACGGCCTGGGAACGGTGACTGTCACTGCTGAGAGGGTGCAGACTCGCAGAGAGCCCCCGTGGCTGTTCCACCCTGGTGCAGTCTAGCCAGGGGTGTCAGAGAGACACATATGGTGGTTGGCGGAGTTCCCAGAGCACCTTGAGCAATGAGCAGTGGAGCAGGCGTGACAGGCCATCTCGGGCGATGTCTGCCGTGGCCCTTCATCAGCACCACTCCCTAGTTAAGCCCCATCTGTATGGTTTCCTGCCTGCACCCCAATTCCTCAGGACTCCTGAGGTTCCTTAGGGAATGCAGTCCTGCACAGGGAGAGGGAAGGAGGGTTCCCAGACCGTGAATACCCATTGGGATTTGGGGTTTTCGGGAGAAGGGGCCCTTTCCTTTTCCCCCACTTCCCTGTGCTGCTGCCTCCCCTTCTGGCTGTGGGTGAGTGCATGTAGGGCACACACTCACTCCTGGCCATCTCCGAGGCTTGGGGACAAGGGCTGGGCGGAGTCCTGTGAGCATCATTGCTGCCCACCATCAGCGGGACCAGTGACCCACCCCTTTCCTTGCCCCAGGAAGTCTCTGAGTGCTCTAGCCTTCTCACCTGACGGGAAGTACATAGTGACAGGGGAGGTAAGTGCATAGTCCTGATGGAGTGCGGGAGGAGGGGTCTTGGGACCGTTTCTCCTGCCCCCAGCTGGGCTGGGGAGTCCCTGGAATATCCCCTTCCTCAGCCAGGAAAGCCCGTGGCAGAGGGAGGTGGCTGTCAGGCACCCCCTGAGCCTCTCCGGCCCTGCCTGGTGCAGAGCTTAGCAGCAGTAACGGCCTCGCTTTCCTAGAATGGACACCGGCCTGCTGTGCGCATCTGGGACGTGGACGAGAAGAGCCAGGTGGCGGAGATGCTGGGCCACAAGTATGGCGTGGCCTGTGTGGCCTTCTCACCCGACCTGAAGCACGTCGTGTCCATGGGCTACCAGCATGACATGGTGCTCAGTGTCTGGGACTGGAAGGTGAGAGCCGCTGGGGCGCGAGGGGGGCAGCCAGCTCCCAGGGGAGCCTGTTGCGGGCACCAGAGAACTAGATGGGATAAGTTGGTAAAGCGCCCACGCATTCGGCAAACGTTTGCTGAGCACCTGCTCCGGGTGATCCCTGCTCTAGGCACCCCATTCTAGGGCACGTCACAGGCTCTCAACTAGTGCAATTGTCATAATTATTTTCATACCAGCCAGCTGTGACCTTGGGCAAGTGGCCTGTGTCTTCATCTGTAAGATGGATCTGATAGTAGCATCTGTCTTGCTGGGTTGTGAGGGGTCAGCGAGTCTGATGTGCACAGCACGGTTGGACTTGGGAACAGCCGGGGGGCTGGGAGTAGGCAGAGTGGTATCAAGACCTGGCTCTGCCTAGAACTTGCTGTGTGACCCTGTGAGCCTGGCCGATTAGGGGAGAATCCCCCACCATAGGACTGCTGAGATGACTCCCCGGGTGACCCTGTGCAGGGCTCTGCTCTGTGACGACCCAGAGCAGGCGCTCCGCCTGTGGCAGCTGGGGGTGGTGTCGTCCCTACCTTCTGTCCCTGGTGGCCCCTGGGGAGAGCTCAGTCTCCTCCTCTGGAGGTGGGACGTAATGAGTTCCTCACGTGCAGCAGCCCCTGGGAGGGCCCAAGAAGGGCAGGCTCGGAGCCGGGAAGCGGGGACACCCAGAGCCTGGGCAAAGGCCTGACGTGAGCCTGTCTGCACTGATTGTTCCAGAAAGACATTGTGGTGGCCTCCAACAAGGTGTCCTGCAGGGTCATGGCCCTCTCCTTCTCAGAGGACAGCAGCTACTTTGTCACCGTCGGGAACCGGCACGTGAGGTTCTGGTTTTTGGAAGCCTCCACGGAAGCGAAGGTGGGTTTCTGTCCCTGCTGCCTGAGCCTGGCCCCAGGGAGTAACCAGGGCTCTCAGGAGTCCGGCTTCTCCTTCCGGGCCTGCTCTCTAGGTGCCGACCCGCAGCCCCTGCCGGGACCCCCAACCCAGGGGCCAGGCCTTCTTCCTGGGCCACTGCTCCAGCCCCGTGCCCAGAAGTGTTTGTTCTGGTTTTCTTTTCCTTGTACTCCACTCGGAGGAATTTCTCCATTTTTATGTTTAGCTGTGTGTGTCCTCTGGTCACGACAGGCCTGTCTGTGGCCCTGTTGGGGGCCAAAGCCACGTGGGCAGCATCTGACTGTGGCCTGCTCTGCCTGCAGGTCACAGGCACGGTGCCCCTGGTGGGGCGCTCGGGCATCCTGGGTGAGCTGCATAATAATGTCTTCTGTGGTGTGGCCTGTGGCCGGGGCCAGATGGCGGGTAGTACCTTCTGCGTGTCCTGTTCGGGCCTCCTCTGCCAGTTCAACGAGAAGAGGGTGCTGGAAAAGTGGATCAACCTGAAGGTACCGTCAGTGGGGGACTCCTCCCAGCGCGCGTCTCCAGGGACGCTCCGCAGCACCCCTGCCTGGTAGTTGACCACACAAGCTCTGGGTTGACGTCTCATTCTGCTCACGTGACTCTGGAGGCGTGACTCTGTCCTCCGAGTTCTGCCTTCCAGGTTGGTAAGGCGGTCACGTGAGAATAGCGTGTGTAAGGCACGTAGCCCGGGGCTTGGAACCCTGTAATGGGGGTCAAGGTTGCAATGACTTCCCCAGCATGGTTTGATCCACTTCACATTTCTCTTCCTGGCTGAACGCTCTTGGCTTGTAAGAAGACTGCATTTTTTTTTTTTTTTTAATTTAAATCTAAGTTACCATTGATTTAATAATTTTTCAATCAAAACAGGCTACACAAAATTTATAAAATTTTAAACTAAAGAATGATTTATCAATATATAATCTCACTGCTCTTCTTCAGTGTCTGCGGGCTGGAGTCCAAGCTGTCCTCCCCTTCTGAGACTGGGTGCCCATTTGGTTGTCGACAGGAGCGTCGTGGTTTACGCCCCTTTTCCCGGCACGCTCTTGTGACTCACCTCCAGAGGTCACCTGTAGGGTTGATGGCGTGGGGGGGGAGTGGGGAAGAGTTCTGAGTTTTAGCTGTCTTCCCCAGCTGGCTAAACTGTTCGTTTGATTTTTTTTCTCACTGGACTTCTCTTGCTAGAACTCAGGCAGTGTTTATGCACATCAGGAGCCTTCAACAGACAGCTGTTTAGTGCCTGAGTGGTTGTTGGAAATGACTCAAAGTCCCATTAGATTTGGAAGAGGCTCTGTAATCCGTGTTGAGAAGCCTGGCACTTCCTGCCCCTCCCATCTGCTTGTCCTGGGAGAAGTCCTTCCTGGATGTCCTTTTTTCTGTCCTACTTTGAAATAAAATCTTTCTGAAGTCATTTCTAAGCAATAGGGAATAAAATTCCAGCTAAAATTCGGCACTGTTACTGCAGGTGACCTGTCTGAAGCAGCAGTCAGCTAAACAGGTATTTCAGCGCACAGCAGTGACAGGACTCCACGGACAGCATTGACGGCTCCGTCCCAACTCACGTCCCTGCCCTCGACAGTGACAGTAGACACTATATCCCGATTTCAGAAATCTTAAAACATGCTAGAATGGCCTTCTGAGACACAGGGAACTCTAAGGCTTCTCTCAAGGCCCGAGGCTGCCCTGTCAGTCCCCCACTTCCCTGGGCCAGGCCGCAAGAAGAACCCAGTTTACTCGGTCCCTTTTGCCCCCGCAGGTCTCCCTGTCTTCTTGCCTCTGTGTCAGCCAGGAACTCATCTTCTGTGGCTGCACAGACGGGATAGTCCGCATCTTCCAGGCCCACAGTCTGCACTACCTCGCCAACCTGCCCAAGCCTCACTACCTCGGGGTGGACGTGGCACAGGGCCTGGAGCCCAGGTACTGCCCGATGGGGAGGTGAGGAGGGGCCCAGCCAGCGTCCACCCACTGGCGTCCGTCCACGCGTCCATATTTGCCTACCCGTGTGTCCAGCCTGCAGATAGGAGTGACTGTTTGAAGCCCAGGGCACCGCAGCGGTGAGCAGAGCAAACAAGGCCAGCGCCAGGATGGGAAGTCAGGCGGGGCAGGGGAGGTGTCGTAGGCGCCATCAAGTCGATCTCGGCTCGCGGTGACCCCATGTAACAGGGTAGAACGCCCCATAGGGTTTTCTAGGCTGTAATCTTTACGGGAGCATTGCCATGTCTTTCTCCTTCACAGCCTCTGGGCGGGTTCACACCTCCAACCCTTCGGTTAGCTGTTGAGCACTTAACCATTGCGCCACCAAGGCTCATTAAACCAAGGGTTAAATAAAATAAAATTTCAGATAGTGGGAAGTGCTTTGAAGAAGAAAAACTCTAATTGAGCACAAATACAATGGAATGTATTCACCCATGTGGCAAACATGTATTAAACAGGTACTAGGTAGAGCCCTGGTGGTGCAGTGGTTAAGAGCTCAGGATGCTACCCAAAAGGTCGGCAGTTCAATCCACCAGCCGCTTCTTGGAAACCTTACGGGGCAGCTCTCACCTGGCCTGTAGAGTCGCTATGAGTTGGAATCGACTTGATGGCAACAAGTTTGGTTTGGTTTTGGTTAAGTGCCAGCTCTGGGCTGGAAGCAGGGTACAGCTGTAATGAGGCAGGAAAATCTCTGCCCCAGTAAGGTCTACAGGCTAGTGAGAGCTTGGTGATAAACAAGTATACCAATAGGATGATTTCAGATCGTCATAAATGCTTTGGTGAGAGAAAGCAGGAGGGAGAGAGGAAAGGCCTGGGAGTCGGGCTGTGTTGACAGGAAGCCTCTTTGGGAGCAGGAGCCAGCTGTGGGGAGAGCTGGGAGAGCTGGGTCCCAGGCAGAGAGAAGCACAGGGAGCTTGGTGTGTGGCAGCATAGCCAGGGCTGTGTGGCCGGAGCCCTCTGTGCTGGGAGAAGACAGTAGCATGTGAAGTTTGAGCATTCACGGAGGTCAGCAGGAGCCTGTTGTCTATTCTGAGGTCAGTGGGCATTGGTGTTATGTGATCAGGCCTGTGTATTAGATTCTCGGGCTGCCACGTTGAGAGTGGGCAGAATGGCTGGGCTGTGGCATATCTTCTCTTTGTTCTAAGCCTGTTTTATTGGGAGGGAGGAGGCTGTCTAACCAGGTGGTACTGGGTGCCTGGGGGCCACCTCTTTATAAATTGCTGGACACTGGCTCCTGGGTACCTTTTCCAGGAGAGAGCCTGGAGAGGCCAGCTGGCATCCATGAAGGAAAGAGAGGGCGGGTAGTGTGTTGCAATAGCTGGGCATCTTGTGCTGTGTGCTGTGTGGCCTAAGGCAGGTCACTGCACCTCCCTGGGCTTCAGTTTTCTTGTCTGTAAAATCCAGCACCTGCCTCTGTGGTGGTTATGAGAACTTAGCGCAGCTTGATAGATTGTAGCCTTTGTACAGGAGGGCCCAGGCCGAGAGATGGCCCCCAGGCCCTGCATGGAGTATTTGATCCTGTGTTGGTGGGGCCAAGAGAGACAAGGCCTGAGGTGCATGCTCATTATCCTTCCGTGCTCAGAGAGAGAAAGGGAACTTGGGTTGTGTGGGATGAGGTGGGGAGACATGTCAACAGGAGTCAAAAACTCAGATGCTCTCTCATGCCAGAAAGAAGTTTCCAGTTGGCCACATCTGTATTAGGAGCCAAACAAAGGAAGAGGGAAGAAGGAGAAGTTGGAGTGGGAGAGAGGAATGGCTGCAAATATCATGAGGGGTGGCATTGCCAGGCAGGAGGCAGCTCGAGGGTCATTATACGTGGCGGTTACCGCTCTCAGGCACATTGCTGGTGATTGATGACCTTTGTGGCCTTGTTAGCTTCCTCTTCCGCAGGAAGGCAGAAGCAGTCTACCCAGACACGGTGGCGCTGACCTTTGACCCCACCCACCAGTGGCTGTCCTGTGTGTATAAAGATCACAGCATCTACATCTGGGACGTCCAGGACATCAACAAAGTGAGCAAGGTGTGGTCAGAGCTGTTCCATAGCTCCTACGTCTGGGACGTGGAGGTGAGCCCCTCTCTCCCTGCTCTGCCCCTGCTCAGCCCCCATTTGGGGGCTCAGCTGGGGGAAGAAGCTGCTGCAGAATTTGGGGAACCCATTCAGCCATTGCTTCAACAGATACTTACTGAACCCTACTACATCTGAGGCTCTGTTTAGAGTTACAAAAGAAGAGAAAGAATGGAGTAGAGGCTTTTCATTTTCTTTTCGGCCATCTTTGTCATTGTGTATGGAACCCTGGTGGCACAGTGGTTAAGAGCTCAGCTGCTAACCAAAAGGTCGGCAGTTCACATTGACCAGCCGCTCTTTGGAAACCCTATGGGGTAGTTCTTCCCTGTCCTGTAGGGTCGCTATGAGTCAGAATCGACTCAACGGCAACGGGTTTTTGGTTTGGTAGTTGTGTATTTTTGGAGACATGCCTATTCAAGTACTTTGTCCATTTTTAAATTGGATTCTTTGCCTTTTGTTGTAAGAGTTCTTTATATGTTCTGGATAATAGACCCGTATCATACATATGATTTGCAAGTATTTTTTTCCTATTCTGTGGGTTGTCTTTTCACTTTCTTGATAGTGTACTTTCATGCACAAAAGTCTAATTTTGATGAAGACCAATTTATCTATTTTTTTTTTTTGCCTTTGATGTCATATATAAGAAACCATTGTCAAATCCAAAGTCTTGAAGATTTACACTTGTTTTCTAAGAGTTTTATGGTTTTATCTCTTGAATTTAGGTCTTTGATCCATTTTGAATTAATTTTTATATGTGGTGTGAGGTAAGGCTCCAACTTCATTCTTTTGCATGTGGATATCCAGTTGTCCCAGCACCATTTGCTGCAGAGACTATTTTTTTCTCCTTGTTGAAAATCAGTTGACCACAATTATATGGGTTTAATTCTGGACTCTCAACTATATTCCATCGATCAATACGTCTATCCTTATGCCAGTACCACACTGTTCTAATTACTGTAGTAAGTTTTGAAATTGGGAAGTGTGAACCCGCCAACTTTGTTCTTTTCAATATTGTTTTGGCTATTTGGGGTTCCTTGCAATTCCATGTGAATTTTAGAATCAGTTTTTCCATTTCTGCAAAAAAGGCTGCTAGGATTTTAATAGGGATTGCATTGAATTTGTAGATTGCTTTGGTGAGTATTGCCATCTTAACAATACTAATTTTTCTGATTCAGGAATACACAATGTCTTTCCATTTATTTTGACTTTTATTCCTTTCAGCAATGTTTTGGAGTTTCCAGCGTACAGATCTTTTACCTTCTTGGTTAAATTTACTCCTAGGTATTTTATTATTTTGGATGCCAGTGTAAATGGAATTGTTTTCTTAATTTCCTTTTCAGATTGTTCATTGCTAGTGTATAGAAATACAGCTGACTTCTGTGTGTTGATCTTGTATCCTGCACCTGTGCTGAATTCATTTATTAGCTCTAATAGTTTTTTTGGTGTTTCAATCCACATTGTTTAGGATTTCTATATGCAAAATCGCATCAGCTGTGAATAAAGATAGTTTACTTTTTACTTTCCAACTTGGATGCCTTTCACTTCCTTTTTTGTCTAATTGCTCTGGCTAGAATTTCCAGTACAGTATTTACTAGCAGTGGCAAAGGAGCACATCCTTATCTAGTTCCTGATTTTAGGGGTGAAGCTTTCAGTCTTTCACCATTGGGTATGTTGTTAGCTGAGGGTTTTTCATAATGCCCTTTATCATGTTGAGGAAGTTCCCTTTTATGTCTAATTTCCTGACTGTTTTTATTGGGTAAATGTGTTTGGATTTGGATCATGTGTTGTTGTTTTTCCTTTGTGGTATTACATTGATTAATTTTCTTGTGTTGAACCACCCTTGTATTCCTGGAATAAATCCCATTTGGTCTGGGTGTATAATCCTTTTAAAAATGCTGCTGGCTTTTGTTTGCTAGTATTTTTTGAAGATTTTTGCATCTCTATTTATTTATAAAAGTTCAAGCTGCACTGAAGGCACTGGTGAAAAACAAGGCTCCAGGAATTGACAGAATACCAATGGAGATGTTTCAACAAATGGGTGCAGCACTGGAAGTGCTCCCTTGTCTCTACCAAGAAATTTGGAAGACAGCTACCTGGCCAACCAACTGGAAGAGATCCATATTTATGCCTATTCCCAAGAAAGGTGATCCACCCAAATGCGGAAATTATCGAACGATATCATTAATATCACAATCAAGTAAAATTTTGCTGAAGATCAATCAAAAATGGCTGCAGCAGTATATCAACAGGGAACTGTCAGAAATTCAGGCTGGATTCAGAAGAGGATGCAGAACCAGGGATATCATTGCTGATGTCAGATGGATCCTGGCTGAAAGCAGAGAATACCAGAAAGATGTTTACCTGTGTTTTATTGACTGTGCAAAGGCATTCGACTGTGTAGATCATAACAAATAATGTGGATAACATTGCGAAGAATGGGAATTACAGAACACTTAATTGTGCTCATGAGCAACTTACACATAGATCAAGAGGCAGTCGTTTGAACAGAGCAAGGGGATACTGCGTGGTTTAAAGTCAGGACAGGTGTGCGTCAGGGTTGTATCATTTCACCATACTTATTCAATCTGTATGCTGAGCAGATAATCTGAGAAGCTGGACTATATAGAGAAGAACGGGGTATCAAGATTGAAGGAAAACTCATTAACAACCTGTGTTACGCAGATGACACAACCTTGCTTGCTGAAAGTGAAGAGGACTTGAAGCACTTACTGATGAAGATCAAAGACTACAGCCTTCAGTATGGATTACACCTCAACATAAAGAAAACAAAGATCCTCACAACTGGACCAATAAGCAACATCATGATAAACAGAGAAAAGATGGAAGTTGTCAAGGAATTCATTTTACTTGGATCCACAATCAACGCCCATGGAGGCAGCAGTCAAGAAATCAAAAGATGCGTTGCATCGGGCAGATCTGCTTGAAAAGACCTCTTTAAAGTGTTGAAAAAGCAAAGATGTCACCTTGAAGACGAAGGTCCGCCTGACCCAAGCCATGGTGTTTTCAGTTGCATCATATCCGTGCGAAAGCTGGATGATGAATAAGGAATACTGAAGAATTGATGCCTTTGAATTATGGTGTTGGCGAAGAATATTGAATATACCATGGACTGCCAAAAGAACGAACAAATCTGTCTTGGAAGAGGTACAACCAGAATGCTCATTAGAAGCAAGGATGGCGAGACTACATCTCACATACTTCGAACATGTTATCAGGAAGGATCAGTCCCTGGAGAAGGACATCCTGCTTGCTAAAGTAGAGGGTCTGTGAAAAAGAGGAAGACCCTCAATGAGAGTGGCTGCTGCAATGGGCTAAAGCATAGGACTGGGCAGTGTTTCATTCTGTTGTACATGGGGTCTCTGTGAGTTGGAAACGACTCAATGGCACCTAACAACAATTTATTTATAAGGGATATTGGTCTGTAATTTTCTTTTCTTGTGTTGTCTTTGTCTGACTTCATAAAATGAGTAGGGGGAATTGCTCCTGCCTCTATTTAAGAAAGTTTGAGACAAACTAGTGTTAATTCTTCATTAAATGTTTGGTATAATTCCCCGGTGAAGCCATCTGGTCCTAGGCTCTTGTTAGTTGGGAGGTTTTTGATTACTAATTCAGCCTCTTTATTTGATACAGTCCTCTTCAGTATTTCTACTTCTTCTTTAGTAAGTTTTAGTTGTTTGTGTTTTTCTAGGAATTTGTCCATTTTTTCTAGGTTATCTAGTTTGTTGGCGTACACTTGCTCATAGTATTCTTTTATAATCCTTTTTATTTCTGTGAAGTCTGTAGTAATGTTCCCCACTTTCATCTCAATTGTAGTAATTTAAACCTTCTCTCTTTGTTTTCTTAGTCTAGCTAAAGGTTTGTGAATTTTGGTTTAGTTGATTCTCTCTATTGCTTTTCTATTCTCTATTTTATTTATCTGTGCTCTAGTTTTTGTTTTTTTTTTAAATTGTACTTTAGGTGAAAGTTTACAGCTCAAGTTAATTTCTCATACAAAATTTTATACACGTATTGTTATGTGACACTAGTTGCAATCCCTATAATGTCACAGCACACTCCTTCTTTCTACCCCAGGTTTCCCGTGTCCATCCAACCAGCTGTCCCTTCCTGCCTTCTCATCCTGCCTCCAGACAGGAGCTGCACATTTGGTCTCGTGTATCTGCTTGAACTAAGAAGCACACTCTTCACAAATATTATTTTATGTTTTATAGTCCAGTCTGATCTTTGTCTGAAGAGTGAGCTTTGGGAATGGTTTTAGTTCTGGGTTACAGAGCTTCCAGGGGTGATGGCTTTGGGGGTTCCTCCGGTCTCAGTCAGACCATTAAATCTGGTCTTTTTACATGAATTTGGTTTCTGCTCCACACTTTTCTCCCGCTCAGTCAGGGACTCTCTATTGCATTCCCTGTTGGGCAGTCATTGGTGGTAGCTGGGCACCATCTGGTTGTGCTCTAATTTTTATTACATCCTTCCTTCTCATAGCTTTGGGTTTAATTTGCTCTTCTTTTTCTAGTTCCTTAAGGTGTGAAGTTATTGATTTAGTTCTCTTTTAGTTATTTACAGCTATAAATTTTCCTCTGAACACTGTTTTCACTGCATCCCATAAGTTTTGATATGTTTTCATTTTCATTTATCTCCAAGTATTTTCTAATTTCCCTTGGGATTTATTCGTTGATGCATTGGCTGTTTAAGTTTGTGTTGTTTAATTTCCACATATTTGTGAGTTTTCCTTCTATTATTGATTTCTATCTAGTTTCATTCTGTTGTGGTTGGAGAAGATCTTTGTGTAATTTCAATTTTTTTAAGTTTGTAGAGACTTGTTTTGTGTCCTAATATATGATATATCCTGGAGAATGTTCCATGTGCACTTGAGAAGGATGTGTCTTCTGCTCTTGTTGGGTGGAGTGTTTTATATATGTCAGTTCTGGTTGGTTCATTGTATTGTTCACATTTTCTCTTTCCTTATTGATCTGTCTAGTTGTTCTATCCATTACTGAAAATGGTGTATTGAAGTCTGCAACTTTTATTGTAGAATTGTCTGTTTCTTCCTTTGATTTTTTCAGTGTTTGCATTATATATTTTGGATCTCTGTTGTTGATGCATAGTGTTTATAATTGTTCTATCTTCTTGATGAATTGACCCTTTTTATCAATATACAGTGTCCTTTTTTCTCTCTTCTAACAGTTTTTGACTCAAAGTCTGTTTTGTTTGATATTAGTATAGCCACCCGTGCTCTCTTTTGGTTACTATTTGTATGGAATGTCTTTTTCTATCCTTCCTCCTATTTGTTTCCTTGGATCTAAAGTGAATCTCTTACAGACAGCATATAGTTGGATCATGTTTATCTTTATCCATTCTTCCATTCTCCGACTTTTGATTGGAAACTTTAATACGTTACATTTCAAGTAATTACTGATCGTGAAAGGCTTACTTCTGAAGTTTTGGTCTTTGTTTCTGTATGTCTTACACCTTTTTTGTCCCTCATTTTCTCTATTACTGCCTTCTTTTTTGTTTAGTTTTTTTGTTTTTGTAATAAACGGTTTAAATCCTTTTATTTCCTTTTCTGAATATTTTTTAGATAATTTTCTTTACGGTTGCCATGGAGATTACATTAGACATCCTGAATTTGTAACAATCTAGCTTGAATTGATACCAACTTAACTTCAATAACATACAAAAACTCTGGTCCTGCACAGCTTCATTTCCCACTTATGTTGTTTTTGTCACAGATTACATCTTTATACATTGTGTGTCCAATAACATAGATTTATAATTAATTTTTATGCTTTGTCTTTTAAATCATGTAAGAAATAAAGAGTAGGAGTTACAAACCGAAAGTAAAGTAATACTGGCTTTTATATTTGCCCATATAGCTCCCTACCAGAGAGCTTTATTTCTTCATAGTTACTTTCTAGTGTCCTTTTATTTCCACCTGGCCTCCATTGTTTCTGATGTGACGATTTCTCTCTTGCTACTTCAAGATTCTTTCTTTGTTCGTCTTTTGATGATTTGATTATAAGATGTCTTGGTGTGGATCTCTTTGAGTTTATCCTACTTGAAGTTCGTTAAGTTTCCTGGATGTGTAGATTCATGTCTTTCATCAAATTTGGAAAGTTTTCGTTCGTTATTTCTTCAGTTGTTCTTTTTGCCTGTTTCTTTCCGTCTTCTCCTGGGACTTCCATAATGCATATGTTGTTCTGCTTGATGATGCTCCACAGGTCCCTTAATCTCTGTTCACTTTCTTCATTTTTTTTTCCTGCATCTCAGACTGGATAATTTCAATTGTCCTGTCTTTAAGTTCACTAATTCTTTTTTCTGCCTGCCCAAATCTGCTGTTGAACTGCTCTAGTGAATTTTTTCATTTCAGTTATTATACTCTTCAGCTGTAGAATTTCTATTTGATTTCTTTTTATAATTTCTATTTCTTTATTGATATTCTCTACTTAGTAAGACATTATTCTTCTGGTTTGGTTTAGTTCTTTGTCTACAGTTCCCTTTAGCTCTTTCAGCATATTTAAGACAATTGATTAAAAGTCCAACATTTGAAATCTTTGCTACACTCTTTTTGCTGGTATTTCTGCTGCTGCTTGCTCATGGTATCTTGTTTCCTTTTGTGCTTAGTGATTTTTGACTGAGCTTCCCATTTTCTTTGAAAATTTATCTGTGCGGATGTTTTAAGACCTGGGCTAAAGATGGGACATGGATAATATATGGTAGCATTTGTGTTCCTTTTTTGTTTCTTTTTGATATAGAAGATATCACACTATGCTTGTTGATCTGCAGTTTACTCTTCTTCACCCAAATGCAACAGCATATCAGAAAGCTCTCACTGAGGTGGCTGTAATGGATCACTCTTTGCCTTTTTGTCTGAGAACTGTAGGTGTATCCTGAGTTTGAAGATCAGAGAGCTTGTCTGCCATCAGGATCTTTTCTGACTTGTTCTTCAGACAACACCATTCGCTTCTGGAACACAGATAGCAGCCCTGACTCTCACTGGCAGAAAAACATCTTCAGTAATGTGAGTGGCTTCATTATGGACTGTCTGTTAGGAGGAATAAAGACCTACCTTAAACCAGGATATGGGGGCATGGGGGAGTCTTGTGGAACTGAGGTGTTAGACCTCAGCAGGGCAGGACCCAAGAACCAAAGAGGGTCACTTCTCTCTCCCTCCCTCTTGTCTCTCTCCCTCCCTCCCTCTTGTCTCTCTCCCTCCCTCCCTCTTGTCTCTCTCTCTCCCTCCCTCTTGTCTCTCTCCCTCCCTCCCTTTTGTCTCTCCCCCTCCGTCCCGTTTGCTGAGGTAGCATGCTCTGTCCTCTGTGCTTCTGTCTGCCAACAACTCCTGCCCTCCAGGCAGCCTGACACTTTCCACAGAGAAGTGCTCCCCAAGTCTGGAGTCAGAATTCACGGGGAGGCTCTCTCCTGGGCCAGCAGGCAGGAACCTCCTCTGTCTAGGTTGCTGCCACACAGTGGGACCTGGGGCAGGGGTGCTGGCAGGATCCTGAAGAGAGTCATGATGGGAACCGGGGAAAACAGTTTGCTGAAGAAGTGGTTGGCATTGCTCGGGCAGTTAGGGAGCTTCTCCGGGCACCTGAGACCTGATCCCTCGTTCATTTACACAGATGCCTATAGATGGACTGCGCTGGTTGCTGAGAGTCAGCACACCAAACCGGGGAGTCAGCAGGGACTAAGATGGGCCTCTCTCCCACCTTTGTGGCACCTACTACCTACTGGGGGGGCAGACAGTGAGCTGATAACTGCACAAGTTAGGATGTAATCACACGTGTGATAAGTGCCAGGAGGGAACATTGCAGGGTGCTGGTAGAATATGTAACAGAGTCGTCTGATCTTGTTGGGAGCATTGGGGCAGCTTCCTGCAGGAAGAGATGACTCAGCTGAGGTTTGGAGGGTTGGGAGGAGTCAAGAGGGGAAGTAAGAGTGTTCCAGGCCAGGGAACATCCTGTGCAAAGGCCCTGAGGTAGGGAAGAGCTTGGTGAGTCGGAAGACCTGAAAGAGGTCGATGTGGCTGGAACAAAAGAGGCTCTGAATGCAGGGTGTGTAGCAGGTGCTCCTTTCCTGCCCTCTCCCGTCCACCCAACACTACCATCGTCTCTTCTGCACCTGTGATGTGTGTGTTCTGTTCGGCTGCACACAGTAGGGAAACCAAGTGAGAGGTAGAAGTTGGGCTCTTGTCAAAGCATCTGGAGGTAACTAGTCCAGACTGCTTTAGCAGCTACAGGAAGCCCTTAGAGATCCAAGAGCTTTCCAGCTCTCTGTTCTGCCATTTGGAGAGTATGGCCCTTGTCCTTGTGATCCAAGATGGACTCTGGAGCTCCAGCCATCACATCTGAGTTGCAGGCAGTGAGACAGGCAAGGAAGCAGAAGGGCACTCGCTTGCTTTACATCTCATTGGCCAGAATTTATTTGTCCAGCCTCATCATAGCTATTATTCTGAGTGATAAAGCTCCCAGCTCAAAACTGGAGTTCTGTTACTAATGAAGATGGGGGACTGGCTGTTGGGAAGGCACGGAGCTGCTCCTGGCGGCACTGACTGCAGCCCTCTCCTTCCTGCAGACCCTTCTGAAGGTAGTGTATGTGGAGAATGACATCCAGCACCTGCAGGACACGTCACACTTCCCAGACCGGGGAAGCGAAAACGGGACGCCCATGGATGTGAAAGCCGGCGTGCGCGTTATGCAGGTCAGTCCTGATGGCCAGCACCTGGCTTCAGGCGACCGAAGTGGAAATCTGAGGCAAGTGGGCCCTGGCGGGTGTCTAGCGCGTGCCTCGCAGCTGGGCTCGGGTACTCAGGGTGGTCGGGAGGAGCCCTGGCTTTGGCCCCTCCAGCTGCCCATCAGGAATGGGGGTTGTGAGCAACAGTCTAGGAAGCAGCCACCTTGGGAACGCCAGCTGGGAAGGCGCTTCCAGACCTCAGCAGCTGGGTGTGCAAACCGCAGAGCGTGTTAGAGTGGACAGGCAAGCGTGCATGACTCTAAGGTTGGGTGACACCATGACCCGTCAGAGAAGATGCCAGCTGGAGTGTGGGGAGTCCTGTGGCCTGGAGGAGGGACCAGGGGAGTGGGGCATTTCAGGGCTCAGGCTGCTCCCCCTGCAGGGGCTTTCCAAGACGTTAACAGCCCCATATATGCTGGCAGACGCGCGCCCATCACGGACCAGGGTTAGGATGACGAAAGATAGCTGTGACCACCTGAGGGTTGGGGCTGGAAGGGGTGGAAGGGGCTGGGGGTCCTGGAGAGCATGTGGCCTTGAGGGGCAGCCACCACCCAGCACCAGGAACACGGGTTCCAAGAAGAGCAGAAAGGGCAGGTTTTCCCTAGGAAATCAGTATGGGCACCTGTCTTGATGTAAGTCACTGCGTGAGAGAAACCAAGGCGTTCGTGGGCTGCCTGCATGCCAGGGCTGTGCTGTGGGTGGCAGGAGCAGCAGTGAGGGCTGCGTGGGCGTAGTGCTCTGCCCCAGGCCAGGCACTGACCTGAGCACCATGCGTATCCGCTGACCCCGGCCTCTGACGACGCTGCGCTGTAAGTCGGTTAGTAGCCTCGGTTTTAGATGGGTTAACGGGGCAACAGAAGTCGAGGGGAGAGTGGAGGAGCAGGGATGAGCGTCTCTTTCTTCAGTCCTGGCTCACGTGCTGACTGACTTCATTTGGAGAGAATGAAGAAAGTCTAGATCTGAGACTAAGAACAAGAGATCAGAATCACACATGCCCACCTGCGGGTCTTATCCTCTAGTGTGACCTCCGAGCCCACCCCCATCCCCAGGGACCACCTCTGATACAGGCTGCCCTAACCCATCCCCCCAGAGGACGGTCCTACATCCCTGGTGGCGGAGCTTCTATGGGGCTGTGTTCTGGCCCATGGAAACACAGGGGCTGGGTGCCCACCGAGGTGCTGCCAGGCTCAGCACTGCTCCCTTGGGAATGGCAGGCTTCCAGATGAGAAGGTGTGGTTGGGCAGCTTGGAGAGCCCTCATATCACCCACCTGGCTGCTTGAGGGGGAGTTCCCAGGGCAGGGCGTGGAGCTCTGGGCGGGGTACAGCAGGCAGCATCTGTCTCCCAGGATCCACGAGCTGCACTTCATGGATGAGCTGCTCAAGGTGGAGGCCCATGACGCTGAGGTGCTGTGCCTGGAGTACTCCAAGCCTGAGACAGGTGAGCCCCGGGGGGCGGGGGCAGGGAAATGGTTCCCCACACAGGGGTAGTTGGCATCTGGCAGGACTATGGGTGACAGCTGAGAGTCCTGTGTTTAATAAGGACCCTGGGACCTGGATGGCCAGGACTCCAGAAAGCAAGACACTTGCAGGCGGCACTTGGTCTGACTTGTTCACTGCTGGTCCCCAGAACCCTTACAGTGCCCAAGCTGAAGAAGTGAATGTGGAGTGAACGAATGTATGAATGAGCTCATCTTCTGCTGGGCAAGACAGATTAATAGAAGTTTTTAATGAAACGTATCATTTCGAAAAAAGTCTGAAGCCTACAGAAAAGTTGCCAGAATATTACAATGAACACCACCATAGCCTTCCCCCAGATTCCTCAAGCTTTTGTCATTGAAGTCCTGTCTGGCCCTGTGACTGTACGTGTGGTGTGATCTGCCTTCCCTGTGTGTCACGCTCCGTGTATGTGAGAGCGTGTGTATGCGTGACGCGTCTACACGCGCACGCGCGTATGTGTAATAACATAATAGCAAAAACATTACTATTTTTTCTCTTTTGCTGAATTGTTTAAGGTGCAAGCGTGATGCCCCTTCACCCCGAAATACTTCAGTGAGCATTTCCTAGGAATGAGGCCATCCATTAACTTACCGAGTTTGGGAAATTTTGCTTTGACACGACACCGCCATCTGTCCTGTGGCCCACATCCCGGTTTTATTGGGTGTCAGTGGTGTTCTTTACGGCACCTGTTTCTCTAGTCCAGCTTCACAGTTCAGCTGTCATGGTTCTTTAGTCGCCTTTATTCTGGAACGTTTCTGCAGCCTTAGTTTCTCTTCACGTCTTCGGCTCTCTGCAGGCCAGCCATCTGTAGAATTTCCCTCAGTTTGGACTTGTCTGTCTCCCTCGTGATTCCACTTGAACAGCACATTTCTGGCAGGAGTGTAACAAGCTGGAGCCGTGTCCTGGAGAAGCAGACACTGAACGCCATTTCCACCTCCTTTTCCCTTCTTCCATCCTCCACCTGTCGAGTTTCTTTGAATCTCTCTGCTCAGCACACCTGTTAGGCCTCAGACGTGCCAGGTGACCAGGGTGGCTACCGCCTGAGGGGCCAGCAGGGAAGGCCCAGTAGCAAAGGAAACAGGCCCGTGGGTTCCGTGGGGCCTGGACGCTGCCTGAAGCAGGCCCGCGTGGGCAGTGCTTGGACGGAGGGCGGTGGTTTCGGAGAGGCTGAGAGGCTGGCAGGGCTTCCTGCAGCCCGCCCAGGGGTGCTCAGCAGGAAAGAGCACTGGACTCGGTTAGGGACATCTGCCATGGGTGTGAGCAGGGGGCAGCGTGTCTAGGCCAAGACTCAGCCCCCTGAACTGGTGGCGGGGGATGTGAGATACCAGGGAAAGACCGCAGAGCAGGGGGAGTGGCCCTGGCAGGTTTGGGACAAGTCGGCTGCCATTCTGGAACTGAAGTCCCCTTCTGCAAGGACTGGAAAGCTGGGTCCCACTGCTTGGTTGGAGGCCAAGCATCTGAGCACGCTTGTCTAGACCCGTCCTCTCCACTTGCAGGGCTGACCCTGCTGGCCTCAGCGAGCCGGGACCGGCTGATCCACGTGCTGAACGTGGAGAAGAACTACAACCTGGAGCAGACCCTGGACGACCACTCCTCCTCCATCACGGCTATCAAGTTTGCTGGTGAGCCCACCTTCCCGGCCCTCATTAGGTGGGCTCCTTTGGGGGCCAGGAACAGCACACGTGCCCTCTAGCTTGAACAGAAAAGGGAGGAGCAGCTGTGCATCCAGGCGCGGCTGGATCCAAAGGTAGAATTTTGCAAAAATCAGCATTCTGTCAGCCCGCCTTTCCCTGGTGGCCAGGGTCTTGGTTGCCACCGTGCCCGCCTCTTCCTCTCAGCTTTGCCAGAGACTAGGAGCTGACTTCCTGTCCTGCCTGAAGTACCTGTTCTCCCTAGAAGGCATCATGGGTGCAGGGCTTTGGGGTGTTCTCTTGGGCCAGGTTGAGCTCATGTGCCTCCTGCCCCCACCTGCCCCCCTCCCTGATCCAGGAGGGCTGGCTGACCCCCAAAGGAAATGAGGTGCTGATACTGTCAGGTGGCGGGATGGGCACTGGTGACCGCTGCAGACAAATAGCTGCTAGCAAGGATCGAGGGACGGCTAATTCTGTGCCAGGCACAATCCTTGCACCCCGGGAACCAAACATGGATTCTTCCCAGCAGTTACCCCTTCCTCATCCCCTCTTCTTGCCTCTGTCTCTCTAGCTAAGATGGTAGAGAGCTGGGCAGAGCAAGTTTCCAGTGTTTAAGATGTTTCTCTGAAGGCTTAACACAGACCAGTCAGCTGACACTTCCCAGACATCCTTCAAAGCTGTCCGAACCCTCTCATTCTATGGGATGTAGGTAATCAGGCAGTAAATCTAGCAGTCTGGCAAGCAGTGACCTTACCTTTAGCAAATGGTCTAGATCCAGGAGAGGTGATGACTGTGGCCAGGGGGGTGGCCCAGAAGTCGGTCCTGAAGGTCACCTTCCTTAGAGCCACGGGCCAGTCTGAGAAGGTGCAGATCCTAAATCAGCTCCTGTGAGCCCTGCTGTGTCCAGGCTGGCTCACCGGGGGTTATGCTCAACATATTGATCAGTCAGCGTCAGCTGGGCACCAGTCAGTCAGAACCGGCCTGAGCCTCCCTGCTAAAGAAGGATTCAGCCTTTTAACCCTTATCCAGCCAAGTGAGTACAGTATCCGTGTACAGTTTACCGAGTGGCTCCGCGGATACCCACACGGAGCTTCGGAGTGGACAGGTGTAAGCCAGACACACCCCTGATGGGTCAGGGTCTGAATAGTTAACACTTGGGAGTCCTCCATCCCCCAGGTTCAGAAGCAGAGCCTTACCAGGAGCATGCAGGCTCTCTCTAGACCTCCCCGGGCCATGCGCCCTCCCTCCCCGACCAGGGCCTACTCCCTTGAGCGATTCTGTTTGTGAATCAACCTTCTGTCAGGAAGTGCCTCCTGGCTGGATCGCATCTGGTACGTCAGGCCCAGACCCCCAAATGTCCTGTCGTCTCCCTGGGTCTTCATCCTCACCACAGCTCTGTGAGGTATTTGTGCTGCTGTTACTCTCATCCGATAAAGAAGTGAAAGTAATACAAGCGAGAAGGCTCACAGTGCGTACCGCGTGGCAGCCGCCGTCCGAGGGCGTCACACGGCTCCTCTGTGGGCGAAGCTGGCATCAGCACCAGGGGACAGGCGGGGTGCTGAGGCCCGGGAAGCCCAGGTTCGGAGCCGTGTTTCGCAGCTTCGGCTCTGGCACCAGAGAAGGCACATGTCAGTCCCGGCCCTGTCCTGACTTGCTGTTGCACCATCTGAGCACCTCTGTTTGTACGGTGGGGTGGGTAGTGAGCGTCAGGGAGATGGGGCCGAGACGTGTGGATGTCCCGCCTATCCCTGCTGTTCCGTCACTGCCTGGCTTCACTCGCCCCGCTCCAGCTCTCCTGCTGTCCTGCCGCCCCAGTCGCCCTGCAGATCCCCTGCTGCAGGTGCTGCCCCTTCTGTACCTTTGTTGTCTTCATGGCCTTGCTCCGCAGAAGCCTTTGTCCCCCGCAGCTCTACCTGTACCCCCTCACACACAGCTCACACCTTACAGAGCCCCACCTGGCCCAGCACAGTCACCCAGCCCTCCCTGACCCCAGCAGACTTGGCTGGTGGTCCTCACAGCCCCACCTGGCCCAGCACAGTCACCCAGCCCTCCCTGACCCCAGCAGACTTGGCTGGTGGTCCTCACAGCCCCACCTGGCCCAGCACAGTCACCCAGCCCTCCCTGACCCCAGCGGACTTGGCTGGTGGTCCTCACAGCCCCACCTGGCCCAGAACAGTCACCCAGCCCTCCCTGACCCCAGTGGACTTGGCTGGTGGCCCTCACAGCCCCACCTGGCCCAGCACAGTCACCCAGCCCTCCCTGACCCCAGCGGACTTGGCTGGTGGCCCTCACAGCCCCACCTGGCCCAGCACAGTCACCCAGTCCTCCCTGACCCCAGTGGACTTGGCTGGTGGTCCTCACAGCCCCACCTGGCCCAGCACTGATCTCCCCCAGCCCTCCGTGACCCTAGCAGACTTGGCTGGTGGTCCTCATAGCCCCACCTGGCCCAGCACAGTCACCCAGCCCCCCTCACCCCAGTGGACTTGGCTGGTGGCCCTCACAGTGGAGCTCCATAGCTAGGACCCACAGCCCGGCCAGGCCCAGCAGCGGACCTAACAGACTTCCCCCCTTCCTGCCCTAGGCAACAGAGACATCCAGATGATCAGCTGTGGGGCCGACAAGAGCATCTACTTTCGCAGTGCCCAGCGGGTAGGGTGGGGCAGCCTGCTTGGGGGCTGAGGCGGGGGGCTTGTCAGGGCTGTCCTCTGAAGGCCCCGTCTGCCCTCTCAGGCCTCGGACGGACTACACTTTGTGCGGACCCACCACGTGGCCGAGAAGACCACTTTGTATGACATGGACATCGACATCACCCAGAAGTATGTGGCCGTAGCCTGCCAGGACCGTAACGTGAGGTGAGGAGGCGCCCTGGCCCCTAGCTGGCCCAGCCTGGGCTGCTCTCTGAGTGGGGCCATTAGGGACCTGGCTGGATCTGTCTTTTCCTGGGCTGGCCAGCGTGCAGGGACCCCGCTGGGTGTGTCTTAGGAGCTGGGCTTTCGGGGCCTAGCCTCCAGGTCAGCGCAGGCTCATGTGTGGCTCTCCCGGGAGCCTGTGCAAGGTGACTGAGAGGCATGTCCGCTCACGCTCCCTGAGCGCGTCTGGGCTGGACAGTGACCAGGACAGCCCTGGGCTCAATGAACCGTGACAGCACAGAGCGGCCGGGGCTGGGATGGGGAGCCCAGGGAATGGTGGGCTCTGCCGAGTCAGAAGGAGCCCCGCTGGTGCAGTGGTTACAGCGCTCGGCTGCCGACCAGAAGGTCTGTGGTTCAGACCCACCAGCCACTCTGCGGGAGACAGATGTGGCCGTCTGCTTCCGAGAAGATTGAAGCCTTGGAAACCCTGGGGGGCAGTTCTACTCTGTCCTGCGGGGTTGCTGTGAGTTGGAATCCACTCAGCGGCAGCGGTTTTGGGGTCAGGCAGGGCTTTCTGGAGGAGCAGACGCGTGTGGACGGAGTCGGGGAGGCTGTGGGGGAGTGAGCCGGGGGAGGCGGGGGAGGGCAGAGCTGTGCGGAGCTGCTCCACCGCCTCCATCTGCTCGTTCTCACTGGCTGCCGGGCACTAAGCTTGCGCGTGGTGAGAAGGACGGACGTTAACTCAGCAGACACCCAAATCCCTAGCCTTCACACCGCAGCCTGCGGGGCCGTCAGTCCTGACATGGTGCTACAGCCCAGGCACCGGGCAGGCCAAGAGGCAGCAGGGGCTTCGGGGGAGGCAGGCGCCAGCTGAGGCTGCACCAGAGGGCGGGAGAGCGGGGGCGGTCAGGCCATGTCATGCCCTCGCCTCCCCAGAGTCTACAACACGGTGAGCGGGAAGCAGAGGAAGTGCTACAAGGGCTCCCAGGGCGACGAGGGGGCCCTGCTGAAGGTGAGGAGCAGAGCCCCGGGGAAGCCACACACACACACCGCCACACAGCCCCCATTTGCCGGCTGCCCTGACAGCCACCTGAGGCCTCTGCTCTCCGAGCACCTCCCCGACGCCCAGGCCGTTGGAGGGAGCGGAGGAATAGACCGTCTCCCTTGGCGCTTGGTACAGGATCACACACTGGCCAGCACCCACCAGGCCTGCCTCACCCAGGAGGCTTGGGAGTGGGCTGGGCATGGGGGTGGGCGGCCCTGACCGCTGTACCTTTATTGTCCAAGCAGGAACAATAAGTGGTTTCCATCTTAAGTGGAAGCAGGTGCAGTGGGAAGGGTTGGAGCGGCCTGGGCCCCTCTCTCGGCTTGCCCCTACCAGACAGGGTGACCCAGGACAGGGCGGGAAGCTCGGAGCCCCGCACCAGGGGTGGTTATGAGCTCAGACTCCAGCCAGGCCCTTGGACTGCCTGACCTGCCTCATCATCTGTAAATGCAGTAAAGCAGCCCCGTCACAGGCGGTTCTATGGGAAGAGTACCTGCGCACACGGTGCTTAGCACCGGGCCTGGCTGCCACCGTCACCGCTGCTGTGGTGGTTCACTTCTTTACTGTAAAACGGGGGGCAGAAGTTCCAGCCCTGCCCGGGTGTGTGTCCTGAGGGTTACCTGGCATCCAGCACGAGGGGGTGTGGTCGTGGGCCCAGGCCTCGCGAAGGGGAGAAGCGGGCAGGCCGAGGGTCGTGTGGGTCCTCTTCCCGGCAGGTCCACGTGGACCCCTCAGGCACCTTCCTGGCCACGAGCTGCTCCGACAAAAGCATCTCAGTGATTGACTTTTACTCGGGCGAGTGCGTCGCCAAGATGTTTGGCCATTCAGGTGGGTGTGTCCATCCTCCGCGGCCACACAGCCCTTCTGACGCAGAAGGTGAGAGCGGCGTCTCCTCTCTGTTTGCAGAAATCGTCACTGGCATGAAGTTCACCTACGACTGCCGCCACCTGATCACCGTGTCCGGGGACAGGTGGGAATGGCCTGCGAGGCCGCCCTGGCGGTGGGTGGGGCCTGTACTGGGTGGAGAAGTGGGGTGTCAGCCACCAGAAACCCCGCGCTCACAGCCTCCCCGTGGAGAGGGCACTTCTGAACCTTCCAAGCCACTCCCCCCTTCGGAAGGGGGCGCCTTGGTGTCACACCCAGCCCTGAGTTCAAATCCCAGATCTGCCGCTTGGGGCCGTGGCCAGGTCACTGTCCCCCAAGCTCAGTTTGCTGCTCTGTAGAAGTGAGGGCACCACCGACCCTGATGACTGTGCGGTGAGAGTCAGATGAGATGAGATACATCGACTCCTTAGCACTCGGTTGGCCCCTTTTGTCTTTCCCTTCCGTTTACCACGCCCCTTCCTGACATCCCCCTCTCCGGTCTTGGGGCCTCCAGAGTCCCTAGTTTGCTGGGATGCCCTGGACCCAGGCGCAGCGTGTGGGTACACAGAGCTGTTGGAGTATGTGCTTGGGGAGGGGCTGGGGAACGAGGCCTGGGCTGTGGTGACCCGGGTGGCCTCCATGCCCACTGTCCCTCCCGCCTCTGCACCTCTCTTTGGTCTCGGTAGCTGCGTGTTCATCTGGCAGCTGGGCCCGGAGATCACAACCTGCATGAAGCAGCACCTGCTGGAGATAGACCGCCGGGAGCAACAGCAGAACATGAAGGACGGGCACTGGAGCAGCCATGCCAGGTCCTGGTGGCCGCCTGGCCATCCCCCATCTGTCCACTCACCAGAGTGTCTCTCTGCCCTGGGCCCCGTGCGGGTGATGCTAGGGACGTAGCCAGGACAGCCCTGGGCCCTGCCAGCCTAGTGGGAGACAGGCCTGAATACAGAGTTACAGTAATACTGATGATAAGGGTTTTGAAGTGGAAAAGTGCTTGGGGAGCCTCTGAGCACGATGATGGGGAATGCCCAGGGGCTGCAGGACAGGAGGCCCCTGACCCAGCCGCGGTGGGGAGGAGGTGCAGCAGGCGGCGGTGTCCTCGTTCCCAGGGGAAGGAGTTTTTGTTTTCATGATTCTTACTCTTTCATGAAGGGTCTTCCTTCGCTTGTTTGAGTCTTCTAAACGTTGTTTTCTAAGTCTTTACGCCACAAATCCAGTTGTGTTTGGAGTGAATTCATATTCTAGTTTTGATTTGGGATTTGGGCTTGGGAGGCTCACTGAGTGGGAGGTTTGGTTGTCTCTGTCTCTGGCCTCTGGGTCTGTCCCTCTGTCTTGTGGTTTTGCTGTTCCCTCCATGAAGGCTCCCGAGGCCCCACGAGGACCAGGCCTTGACATGGGCCGTCTGTCCTGCGGTGGTCCTGGCGGTGTCACAGACCAGGCCCCAAGGGCGTGGGAAGCTCCCTTCAGCACACATCCCATCCCACTCTGGGGCTGTGAGCAGGGCCCTGGCTCCAGTCCCCGCCCCGTGTCAGGCATGTTACGGTGTCCTGTACGCAGAGGGCCACGATCTCATTGCTGCCACCTACTTTCTGGGTGGGAACCCTGCTTCACTTCCTGTCCCTGCTGTGGCCCGTGGAGAGCGTGCCTTATTTTTTGAGCCCAGCCGTGTGTGTCATTACCGTGGCAGAGGTGTGGAAGAGGTGTGCTGGGGAGACCCGCCAGCGCCATCTTGACTGGAAGCCACATGGAGCTTAGCACAGGGCCCGGCCCTAGGCAGCCACCCCCCCCATACATGCACACGTCCCCGTATTTCCGTTCTTACTGTCCTCATCCTCGGCCGTAGGCAGGAGACCTGTGTGTCCGTGCCCAGTGAGGCCCGCTCCCTAAGCCCTGGAGAGCAGACAGAGGACGAGCTGGAGGAAGAGTGTGAACCTGGGGAGATGCTGAAGACACCATCCAAAGAGAGCTTGGAGCCAGGTTGGGAGAGAGGCCCATGCACAGGGGCCCTGTTTTGAGCCTTGTTGGGGTAGGGGTCAGTGCTGGGTTTTGCCCCCTAGTTTGTGTTCAGGGCCTGGCACATAGTGAAGCTCAATAATCTTAAATCAGTCATGACTCTTTCAGTGTAATAGGAACCAGACTCTGACTGGCTTAAGCTGGAACCAGAATTTATTGGTTCCTGTGACTGAAGTTGAGAGTATTGACTTCAGGCATGGCTGGATCCAGGTAAGGAGGGGATGTCAGAAGGAATGCGGATATGTTTTTCTCCATCCTGCTGGCTTTTCTCTCAGTCAGACTCTCCCTTTCCTGGGGGTAAAGATGCCCCCCAGCAGCCAGGTTGATAAAACTGCATAGAGAAGAGAACACCCCTTTCCTAATAGCTCTAGCAAAGTCCTGGAGTCGAGACTCAGGTGCCTGGTGTGAGTCGTGTGCCCCTTTCTGAACCAAATCACTCTGACTGGCCAGGCCTGAGTCATGTCACCTCTGAAGGAAGAAAGGAAGGAAGAGGCTTTAGTCAGCCCCACTCGAACCACCTGACCAAAACGGGGGGAGCAGGAGTGGAGTGTCCCGGGAAAAACAGCGTGCTGTAACCCAGGAGACAGGACAGATTCTGTTGTTCAGGCAGAGGGGAGAGTAGCAGCTCAGCAGCTCTATACAAGGCCACTCTGTCCATGTAAAGATGGCGTGCCAGCAGCCAGGGACGGACTGCCCGATAAGCAAGGTACGGCATGGGCTTATCTGCGGTGCAGAATTTCCCGCTTTTTGCCACATGTTGTGCGCTCCAGTAAGTAAACCTGAGTAAGCCCATACTTACCCTTGCTTACTCACCCACCCTGGTGGCAGCATCGTCCCACCTCCTCGTCTGACTTCACAAGGGGGAGGGAGAATCAAGATCAACACCCAAGGCTGGTTGCTATGAGGCAGAGGGCAGACATAGCTCCTTTCTCCAACCTGTTTACTAATTCTTATACCGGCTGTCCCTCCCATGGCACCCTCTACTCTGCTGGTCTGATAATTTGTTGCAATGGCCACACACAACTCACAGACCTACTCATGCTTATGGGGTTTATTAGAGAGGTAACAGGTTAAATGCAGGATCTGTAACAAGTCAGGATACATTTCCTGGGTCAGGACAGCTTCTCGGCCACGCCTCTCTCTGACGCTAGGCCTCTTGGCCAGGTCTCTGCCCTGCTTGGGCAAGTGTTACAAAGCTCTTTAGCTCTGCCAGTAAGTGCCCAGGGTCACCCCATTCTACCGGTAAGCCTTGGCCCAGAGGCACTCAGCTCTCTCACTCCATGCGCTGGCAAGCCTAACTCTGCAAAAAAATGCCCAAAGGCACCCCACTGCTCCAGGAAGCCTGCCTGAAGGCACGCTCTCTCTCGCTGTGTGGGTCAGCACACCCACTGTAACCGCCTTGCTCTGTGGGCCAAGAAGCCCCCTGCGCTGCCTGGCACCAGTTGCCTGGTTCTGCTGCCGTTTTGCGGCCGCTGCTTGCCGTCTTATCAGATATTAGAGGTTCTCTCCGTCTCCTGGGTCTTGGAGGCTCTTAGCACAGGCCCAAAGGATGCCCTACGCTCTCATCCCTTCTTCTTGACGGTCACGAGGTCCCCCAGTAAGCCTCTCGGATGGCTCATTTTAAGCCTAGCAGGATGGTAAAACTGACCAACCCTTCTTTGGGGTTCCATACACTTTGTTTTTCATGGTTTTACCCCCACAAGGGTGCCGTGCACCTTATTTGTATTATTAGTAAGCTATCCAATCCCCGTGGTGGGCCATAAGCACCTCATTTGCCTAGCTTCACCCAGTCATTTGGTGGGAGTTACAAGACCATCGTGAGAAAGGCCATATAAAAGGGACCCATCGTACCACACTCTATAAGTGTCTGCCCCTCATGGTTGCAAGATGGCTGCCTCAATTCCAGACATCAGAGACATGGCTGAAGAGGAGAGACACTTCCTTCTGAGAATTTCTTTTAGAGAAGCCAGTTTCCCAGAAGCCCCTGGCAGGCTTCCCGTGGGTCCCACTGCCAGGACTGCTCTAGCTCTGAGAGACTGGGAACAATGACGAACACCAGGAGCTTTTAGGATGGGTGGTGGGCTCTGCCGACCAAGGGAAAACAGGAAGGAATATGAGAATCCATTGTGATTTTTCTTGTTCCCACCGTTATAGCCAACCCGTGTCCTCTCCAGTGGACAAAGCAGAGGCATCTTTTAACCAGGAGCATAGTGGAGTTTTTTTTTTTGAGCCGTTTCTCTCTGGGTGGGCAGGGAGGATTTTTTGTTAATTTGCCGCCGCTGTGAGTGAGGCTGTACCGACTGGCCCAGGCCGCCTCCCTGGGTGTGTGTGAGGGTTTCCCCAGGAGAGAGGCGGAGGAGCAGAACTGCCAGTCGTGGGGTTTGGACATTTTCAGTTTTAGAAGAAAACCCCAAAGAACTCTGCAGACCCAGTTACTGCTCCAGTGCATTATCCCGCTGGTCCCCACACTTTTGCTGACCCCTGATATTGTTGAGCATTTTCACTGGTCAGTCTGAGGGAGAGTATGGTGTCCCACTGTGTAATCTCGCATGCACTGAGTTAGCGAGGCTGAGCGTCCCGAGATGCCCGTCAGTCCCTCTCTTGCCTCTTGGAGACCTGTCTGCTGCCCGTCTGGCTGCCGGGGAAGTCCTCTTCTCACGGGCTTTGTGTGCCTCCCCAGATCCTCGGTGCCTGCTGACCAATGGCAAGCTGCCGCTCTGGGCAAAACGGCTGGTGAGTCTGCCAGGGGAGGGGAGCGCCGTCCCCGTGCCCCGTTCCCGGGACCCCTCCTCCCCTCCACGTCTCTGCTATCCCTGGAGAACCCCCACCATCCTCCCAGCCTCAGTTCTGACAGCCCTTCCTGCTCCCAGCGTATCTGCTGAGCCAGCCACTGTGCCAGCCTCTGGAGATAGTGGACAAACACTCCTGTCCTCATGGGCTCACCTTCCAGCGTGGGAGGCAGACAACACCCACATGAAATAAGTAAATTCGACAGCATGTTGACAGCTGATAAATGCTGCAGAGGGAAAATAAGGAGTGTAAGAGGCTCCCCGGGAAGATGGTTGATACTTGCGGGTACTGGGGAAGAACGTGCCAGGCAGGGAGACCAGCCCTCAGGTGCCAAGACCGGGAGGACCGTGGTGCTTGGCACGGTCACGGGGGGAACCCAGGCTGGAAGAAGGGCTCGAGGACGAGGTCATGGCAGCCAGGTGGTTTGGGGTCGTGTGAGCTGTGGCGAGTCCCCTCCACCCTCTTCGTGGGCTTCCACTGTTTCTCCGTGGCCCTGAGTGAGATGGAGCCAGGGAGGGCTCTGAGCCGGAGGGCCGTGATCTCACTCAGGTGGTAACAGGTCCCTGTGGCCGCGTGTGGGGAACAGACTGGGTGGGGTGGGGCAAGGTGGAGCAGGAGACCGGGGTCGGGGGGAGGTGGAGCAGGAGACCGGGGAGAGGCTGGACCAGGGGGAAGAAGCAGTTGGATTCTGGATGGATTTTGAAGGTGGAGCTGATCGACTGGACGTGAGGGAAGGAGGGGCCGAAACGACATCAGGATGGATTGACTGTTGACTTGGGGGCAAGGCAGGCTAGGGGCCGGTGGGTTAGAAGCTGGCAGCAGAATCGGAAGCCCTAGGTTTGAGGGTTTATTTCAGGAACACCACCAGACCCTGTCCCTTTGAAAAGACCACAGCACTCCCCCTGCCCACCACCTGCAAGGGAAGCCTTAGGAGTGAAGTCACCTCAGGGCCTTTGCTGGTCCCTCTGCCTGAACACTCTCCCTCGTTCCTACTCATCCTTCAGGTCAAAGCTTCAATGTCAGCTCCTCAGGGAAGTCCTCCCTGACATCCCCTGCCCTAGACACCAGGTCAGGACACGTGACTGTGCTCTGAGGCCCGCAAGCTTCTCCTTATGTTACACCTGGAGTTCCAGTCAGGGAAGATTCACAGCACGCTTACTCTGTGTAGGCTGTCTAAACCCTTTACGCGCGTTGTCTCATTGAATCCTTGCTGTAGCTCTGTTGATGGAGGGGCTTTTCTCATCCGCATTTAGCAGGTAGGGAAACTGAGGGTTAGAGAGTTAAGTACCTCGTCTGGGTCACACAGCTGAGAACGAGGCCGTGGGATGGAGTGTAGGCAGGCTGGCTTCAGAGCCTGAGTTCTCCACAGCCACCTTCTGGTGTCTCTCAAGCGGTGACACACAGGACCAGGGTGAAGACTGTGAAGTGGCCGGATTTGGGGCGTGTTTAGAAGCGAGAGCTGACAGAATTTGCTGATGAAATGCAGTGTGGAGTATAAGGGAGAGAGTAAGAGAGAAAGGAAAGATAATCCTAAGGTTTGGGGCCCGAGCAACCAGACAGGGCCTGAGGTGGGAAGGCTCTCGGAGGACAGGCTCTGGGGAAGGGCAGCACGTGCACGCGGGAACATGTGTTAGACGTCCATGCAGAGATGTGGCGCACCTGCACAGCAGTTCTGGAGTGTGAGGGAAAGGCTGGGGCCGGAGGGAGAAATCTGCAAGTTGTTTCTGAACGGAACTGAATGAGGTCTGAGCAGTGCCCCTGGCCCTCGCTGGAGCTGCTGAGGACGGGCGGGCTGCTGACTGTCCCGTCACCCTTAGCTCGGAGATGACGACGTGGCAGATGTCTCAGCCTTCCATGCCAAGCGCAGCTACCAGCCACACGGCCGCTGGGCAGAGCGGGCCGACCAGGAGCCCCTCAAGACCATCCTGGACACCGGGGACCTGGACTGCTACTTCAGCCCCATGAAGCCTGAGAGCCTGGAGGACTCTGTCCTGGACACAGTGGAGCCGCAGAGCCTGGTGGGCCTGCTAAGCGAGGTGCGTACCGCCTGGCACGCAGCCCCTGCACCACAATCTCCTACATGGGGCCCGAGGCCTTGATGCTCTCCGTCTGAAAATAGGGCTGATGTCCCACCTGAGGGGAGCGGAGAGGGCTGCGTGAGATGGTGGAGGGTGGGATGGAGGGCCCAGGCCTGGAGCACAGCAAGGCTTCGCGGGGCAGACGGGTCTGGGAAGCAGAGCCCCGGCCCTCCCTCTTCCTGGCTGTGTGACCTGGAACAAGAAGCCTGCTTGCCTCTCTGGCCTCGGTTTTCCCATCCAAAAAAAGGTCACAACAGTATCCTCTGCCTGGCAGGGCTCTGATAGGGATCTGGTGCTAAGACCAGGGCCTGGGCCATTAGAGGTGCCCAGGCAGTACTAGCTCTTCCTGTATTGTTTTCCAAACCATTCTTTTCTAGGCTGTTGCATACGTTTTCTTTTTATTCCCATATAATATATATACAGTAATGTATATAGCTCTTAAGTACATAGTTGAGTGGATTGTTACTTGTGTATACACCTTTGTACCTACCACCTAGGTGGCAATGTGGAACACCTCCCCCTTGTGCCACGCCCAGTCAGTAACCCTCCCACCCCCCAAGGTCACTGACATCCTGATCTCTCTCACTGAGCGTTGGTTGGTTGGCCTGTTCTTGAACTTCATATACATTCTCAGAGGGCCACGCCTGTTCCTTATCTGTAAAGGGAGCACTGAATAAGCCCATGGTGGGAAGTCTTGGCACAGGCCTGGCCCACAGCGAGTGTTACCCTCATTGGCATCATGCCTAGCGGCTTGCGAGGGCCGGTTGCCTGCCACCTCAGAGTGACTGTGTTCTCTTCACCTTGCAGTCAGAGCGTCCCCAGGAGAGCGGCTGTGGGCACCCTTCCTTTCTGCCCCTACAGAGGGGCTCTGAGGCCAAGGAGCTCGTCACCTACTCCCTGGAAGCAGCAGTGACGGTCATGGGCACAGACAGGTGGGTGTCTTTGCACCAGGGGGCTTTGGTTGGAGAGAGGACGCCTCAGCTGCTAGGTTCACCCTGAAGAACTGCTCCCCTCTCCTGGTAGGCCTGTGGACGTGGGGATCGGAGAGGGAGAGGGTGAGGCCCGGCGGGGCAGGAGCCCGGCCCTGAGGCTCAGCTGCTGCCTCAGTTTCCCTTGCTGCGGGTAGAGGTGCAGGGGCTCCTGGGAGAAGGGGTGTCTGGAGGAGGCAGGAGAGCCCAGTGGGAGCAGAGTGCAGGAGCCCCGGGGGTTCTGAGGGGGACGGCTGTTGCCTAGCCCGTCAGCTGTGGTCCCCTTGTCTTCTCCCACTGCACCGCAGCCAGTACTGCGCCTGCAAGGTAGCTGAGGGGCCTGCGGACCAGCAAGATGACTCCTACCTCAGGATCTCCTCCTCTGGCTCCAAGGCCCAGAGCCTACCTGAGGGTGCGTAGGGGCAGGCAGGGCTCTGGGGTGGGCTGCTTGTTCAGCCAGGCTCCGGTCTGAGCGCCGTGGGCCACCTGGACGGGGCTGCCAACCTCCTACAGCGGAAAACAGCCAGCCCCTGCCATTGCCCGAGGACTCTGCCACCTCTTCAGTGTGTAACCTTGCTGGTCCATAAAAACGGGGGGGTGTATTATCATCCCCATACCCCACATGGGGAAACCGAGGTCAGAGCAGCTGAGTCACTTGCCCAGTGAAGGCACAGCTGTGACCTCCTGACCCCCACGCTCTGCTCCTCCAGACTCGGGGGAGTCAGAGACAGACTTGGAGTGCAGCTTCGCCACCGTCCAGTCCTCCCCTCCACGGCCTGACCCAGACCCTCGGTTCGACGTGACGGTTCCCCACACACCAGGTAAGCAGGGGCCAGACCAGCAGAGATGGGCTGGGTTCCGGAGTGGTCAGAGTGTATAACCACTGGCCCCACATTGGCCCTGCACTTGGCACTCGCTGAGCCTCTTCCTTCACCTGGGAGGTGGTGGGCCTTGCCTTCTGAGCCTGGTGGTAACAGCCTGGTGCGACAGGCCGAGTCCAGCTTCCTCTGCTGGCGAGGGGCGTTGTCCACGACTCCCGGTGTCGGCAGCCTCCCTCTTTGGCCCCCTTTGCCTCCCCGCAGGATGCCCGGGGCCTGCCGAGGAAGAGGTGGCCCCGCCAGAGGGGCCCGGCCTGCCCAGCAGCTCCCTGCCCCAGACCCCGGAGCAGGAGAAGTTCCTCCGCCACCACTTCGAGACGCTCAGCGACGCCCATCCTGAGGGTAGGGCCCTGCCCCTCTCTGAACCCTGCCTGGCCCACCCGATGCTGAACGCAGGCTGGGTGACTCGGGCAGGGCTTTCCTTGGCAGGACCAGCGAGGGTGGGGTGGGAGGGCACAGCCTTCGCCTTAAGGACTGAGCTGCGCAGTCCTCCTCTCTGTCTGCTCCTGAGGTGTCCGCTCTGTCTGTTGATGGGGGGTGCTGGGAGCCTAGCTGCTGATCTGTGGGCCTGCATGGGCCCAGGGCAAGGTGGCTGGAGGGATTCTGAGGGTCCCCTCATCTTTTCCTAGAGCTCTTCCACAGGTCCCTGAGAGACGTGAAGGCCTCCGAGGCTGAGGACTTCTTCCTCAATCCCCGGCTAAGCATCTCAGCCCAGTTCCTCTCACGCCTCCAGAAGAAACCCAGGTGGAGCCAGTGAACCCTTACTGTACCCTCAGCTCTGTATCCTTCCGGGGTGGGGCTGTGTCCCCTCAGACCCCTAGGGCAGGGCTGTGTCCCCTCAGACCCCCAGGGCAGGGCTGTGTCCCCTCAGACCCCCCAGG